GCGCTATAATTGGCGGCAGGAATAGGCAATATGATCGCAGGGACGCTTCTAGCTTGCGTCAGATGGGCGGGCAGCCGCTCGTTGAGGGTGTCCGCGAGGGGCTGCTGGGTCTTGGTCTGGTGTTCCTCGCTTATTGATGCCTACCGCCGCAATAGCTGAAATGGAAGTCAGGCGTCCCTAAATATTCTCGCGCTTACGCGCTTCGCGGTTACTTTTAACAGATACGCTAATTCTGCTACTTCTGGTCCGCGTTTCGGATTTTAGCAGTGATGATGGTTATGCGATAGGATAGTATGAATGAATGGATTGGATGGATGGATGGATGGATGGATAGCATGGGATGGATGGATGGATGGATGGATGGATGAATGGATGGATGAATGAATGGGATGGATGTGGATGGATGCGATGGGATGGATAGATCGGATGGATGCTGGTATGACATGCGATGGATGCGATGCGATTGATTAATGGAATGATTGATTAAGATGAATTGATTTATTGAACTGGATGGCGATGATGGAAAAACGGACGACGTAATGACTATAGATGGTCTGGAGGGTAGTTATGAAAAATACGTCTAGGAAAAACTGCATGATTATACAGCCTTAATAACGACGCATTTGCGCGCACACGCACCCATATTTAGGCCACTGTAAAGTTGGTGCGCACATACTATTGACGTATTTAACGAGGTGGATGACGGCGGGCGAATTGTGTTCGGAGCATACAGTGCATGCGATCATAGTAAGTAGGGCAATCCTCGTGTGCGCGCTGCGGCGCCTTGTGTGCTGTGCGTTACATCTCCTTCGCAGACAGTGAGTTGTATTAACAACAAAACGTAATAAGATACGATTAGTGACTTTGTCTTATGGTGAATCGGCTGGACTGAATGGATCGACAGGCATGAATAAATCGTACACGCGATCATGGATGGATGGATGGATGATTGGTATGATACTGATGGCATGGATGGATGGAGGATGGATAGTATGAATGGATGGATGGGATGGCAATGGATGATGGCGATGGACGGACTGACGAACGGATGGATGGATGAGTCTAAGTCGGTTGGCAATACGTTCACTGTTTTTGCTAGGTACTATCACTTTTGCTAGGTAGAGCAAGAATTGCACAGAATATTGGTGATACGTGAAACAAGGAGCGAGGCTTCATTCGTACATGTGCGCATGAACGAACGCTCATCATCATCGCTTATCAGGACGCTGTGGTTAACCAGCACATCGGAACAGAGCTACCTACAACATCGCCGCCACGCGTAGATGCCAAGTTGAGCGCTCTCTTCTTCAGCTCTCATTCGACACCCATCACTTGTTAGAAACTATCTTCAGGTATGCTAAATGTATCGTTGAAATAGCGCGTTGGCATGTAATTTCTCAAATCAGTTTATACCGCATTACTCCAGTATCTCGCTCTAGACAGAGGGTTGCATTATGGCCATTTGTAATCGACACCTGTGCCCAGAACCACAGACACAGACTAACGAGCGAGAAATCTGATAATTACGATTATAATAGGTAGTTGCTGCTTGTTGTTCTAATCGCTAATCCTACCCATTCAGCTGACATGGTTCTGTCAGCACAACGGTGACACCTTCTACTATCCATAAATAAATCAAACTAGGCTGGGTATAGAAGGTAGATTTAGCATCAAGGCGACTCCTTCGGTGTGGGGGGCGTCCTCTTCTTCGTGGCCTGAGTACAGGATTGTCTCACCTGTTGACAGTCTCAGTTGTCCTGCCTGTATCAATCTGGTCTCACAGAGACCTAGCAGGGCTATCTTGTATTTCTTCATGTCTGCTGCCACTTGTGCTGCCTTCCCTGCTTCGTACATTCTGTGGATGTTCTAAGTGGCAATCTTGGTTGTTGTCTTGGATGTCAGAAGGGGAGTCGGCCTTGCAGCTTCCGTCAGGCTTTCACTGCAACGCGTCATACTCCTACGAGGTTGTGGCCCTTCCACACCCAAGTCTAGTAATGTCGTCAATGTTTCTGTAACAAGCTGTTTTTTCCGGTCTAGAGGTGTTAGCCATATCCCAACCCCTTAACCTCGAAAAAAGGTGGTCCAAATTTGTCTGGCCTCTACCCTTTGACCTGTCCAGCTTGGGTGACCCTGCCAGAAGCTTATGCTCCCGTTGGCATAGTTCTCCGGGTTATTGAGGCTCGCAAGCCACCACACCGCGACAAGGGATGGACCCCGTGGTGGAGAAGGTAGATTGGATAAAAGAAAGGTAGAGGAAAGGAGAACGTAGTTGAGGTGAGATGGTTGACCATGTAGGAAAAGTTGGCGTACTGAAAGAGCACGTGGGAAGTGAGGGAAAGAAGTAAAGGGGAGGAGAATGTAGAGGAGGTAGAAAGAGGGAAAAGTGGAAGAACTGGCGTATAGAAAGTAAGGAAAGGATGAAGTTATAATTATGAACTATGAGGAAACCGAGAAGGAAACCCTACCCGCGATCACGCTCGCGCGCCTACTGCGACCTGAAAAGTATGAAAGCGCGAGGAAAAGCACAGTCCATGAAAATCCATGGCGTGGTGTGACCATGGTGTGACACCATGTAGCTTAACAGTAGCTTACAGTACGCTCTTGACTCGCTTATTACGCTCTCACTGCGATCCTATGCGTTCCCAGTTTGATCTTCAGTGCGCTCTCAATGCGCTCCCACTGCGCTCAGTGCACTCTCAATGCGTTCCCACTGCGTTCTGTGCGTTCTCAGTGCGTCCAAGTAGCTCTCGCTGCGCTCTTACTACGCTCTCAATACGTTTGAAACTCGCTCACTGCGCGTGCGCGGCGTGTATATATAGAGCTTCCTGCGACCTTCAGGATCAGTCTACATTCAGCCGCTGTATGCGCCATGCCAAAAAGAAGAGGCATGGGTCGAGGAATGCCCCCTTCTTCAGGGAAGATTGGACAGCTGATGACTTCCTCCTTGTACTCATCTACGATGGCCTGGCAGACTTCTCGTACTAGGACAGACATGGTGTTATGAGGAACACTGAAGTCAAACTTCATACTGGCGTACTTGGCACCGGATGCTAGGTGGTGCATAGTAATTGCAATCTTCAACCCTGGTTCCATAGCCTTTCTATACATGGTGTCTTGTTTGGTGCATCTTGGACCAAGTCTTGCTAGGAGCTCATCAAACATCTTTGATTGTACTCTCAGGAAGTTAAAGAAGGATGCAGGATCTTCGTGTCGTAGCTCGGCCATTAGGCAGTGATAGTGGCCAAACTGAACTCTTCTCCCCACGTCTAACCATGGTCGAACCCAGCATCTCCTCTCCCTTCTTTCCCTCCTCCTTCTAATGATGTTGACAAGGGCCTGGTCATCTTGTGCCTGCATATGTGCTAACTGTAGTACAATTAGCACATTCTGCCTGTCTGCGGCCATGGTGAAGAGCAGATGCACACTGATTGTGTATAGAAGATGAAGCTGTATTTATACCAAAATGTGGGGGGGGGGTCAGTGAAAGTGGGATCGTAATAAGAACGCACTGTGAGCCTATTGAAAACGTGGGAACAACGCCATGGACGTATTACGAGCGTCATAGTCTCAGTGGCAGCGCAGTGTGGACGTAGAATGAGCGGAAACAAGCCCAGAAAGCGTAGTGGAAGCGTAGTAACGGCGCACTAAGAACGGGAGAGGCACGTATGGAGAGCCCAATGAGCGTACAGCAGTCGCAAACCAGTCGCAGGAGACGATTTCTGCGACCCCAAGTCGCTTCTATGCGTTGTTGCTACGTCCACGATACGCTCATGTAGTTCGCTTTGCTCTGCCACGGCGACTGTATACTGCGTCATTACACCGCTCATTACAGAGCGCCGACCCGCTGCGCTTGTTTTGATTCGGACCAACACAAGCGCCGAGGTTTGGCGCTCAAGGTAGCTCATGGCCACCCTCTTCCGTCTTTGATAGTTTCCACTGCGTCACCAACTAGTTCTCAGAGACCTTACTGCGCTTTTCCTCGCGCTTTCATACTTTTCAGGTCGCAGTGGGAGCGCGAGCGTGATCGCGGGTAGGTGTGACAGGGGTATTATTGATGCGTATCCGTGCGTGGGCGCAGTGATGTCGCACGTATATGCCGTTGCCACGTAGCGGGCCTGCGTAGGTACTGGTACATATTACGCACGATCTGTGCCTATACCGGTTGTTCACTTTGCTTGCGATCGCCAAGCAGGCGCGTAGCCAGGGGGGGGGGGCGGTGGGGGCGGTCGCCCCCACCCAAAACGCCGGCCAAAAAAAAGAGAGAGAAAGAAGAGGACGTAGGAAGAAAAAGGAGCATACAAAGACACATGACAAAGACTGTGTTAAAAAGATTATAAAAGAAACAACAGATATCTTTTAATTATTTAAAAATATTTTGTGAAGTGAGCTTTGAGCCCAGCGCAGTTCGCCTTTCATCCAGCTCGGCATAACATATCATGCGTACCTACACAATAATATTACTATCGAGCTCTACGGATATTTTGTGTACAGCGGGTCGGGTTCTCTACGTGCTACTTGTGTATTCTTATTGTGTGTCTGACCTGTCACACAGTCCTGCTAGCAATTATGGAAACCTTATGACGAAATGCTGATTGTTTGGTGATTGGTTGATTTAAACGTCAATATATTTATCACATGCATGATGCTCTTTTCTGAAGATATCCTAAAAAAAATCGAAATCTTGTTTAACAATATTATTTTTGAAAATTTAAGATTAAGAGTCGAGAACGGTACAACGAATCGTCTTCTTTCTCTAATGATTTAATGAAACGTCAGAGCTTCCGCGCTTCGCGTGGGAGGGGAGAAACTCCCCCCTCCCTGCAACCAACCCCTAGGAACCGCTCGCTCTTTAAGTGATTCGCACCAGGGGCGTAAATTCCGGGGGGTGGATGCATCCCCCCGCTCTTGAAGGAGGGGGGGATGGCCTGTACAAATACCCCCCTGAGATTCAAAAAAAGACAGAAAAAAGAAAGAAGGAAGAAGAAGAAAAAAGAAAGAAATATGATTGTTTCAATTTCAGCATAATGCATGAGAAATGAGTTTTTTAAATGTATGTATAACTGCGCTAATAGCCTACAGTACAATTTAGTGTTAATCATGGCGCTACTGCATGCGTAGCAAGTAAGACAGACTTTCGAGGGCGCACGGAAGAGGAAGGAGTGTACTGCCAGAGGCATATAGTCTCTCAAAAAGTACAAGTCGCTACGCGGGCTGCAGACTGGAACTTTACACCTAATATATCAAGCTTCTTTGCAGCAGATGAGAATTGTCTGTCTTGACGCCAGAAGTGAGATTTCGCCATTATTTAATTGAACACAATGGCCTTTGATGCGGGCTAGACCCTTGCAAATGAACTGCTTCAAGAAATGTTTCCAGACTCACAAATACAAAAGGTATGGTTGCAAAATACAAAAAAGGAAATTGTGGGAAGAAATTGCAAATTCTTACCTGTCGTGTTTTATTACATTGTATTAATTACTATAGTAACCTAACTGTGTACGCTCTACCTGAAAAAGTAAAGAAAAGTGTTTGAACCTCAACTGTAGGGTTGAGTATAGAGTTTGAATAGTGTACAGACATAAGAAATGGCCCACAGTACTGCCTCCAGATTGCCACTGAAGAATGGCTGAAATATTCAAATTGTCTGGGGGGGGCATGCCCCCAGACCCGCCCCTAGCAACTGGCATCACTACGGCACGTACAACCGTACGTTTGTAAATTTGGCATAGAAGCGTGCATAGTATGTATGCATGTTATAAATTATGTACGTGTCGTTTGTGTGTGCTGTGTACGTGTGTGGTAGTGTGGGTGTGTGCATTGTGTTTTGTTGTTATTGTTCGTTATGCTCGTGAGTATGTGTGTGTGGTGTGTGTGTCGTGTGCTGTGTGCTGTGTGTGTGTGTGTGTGCTGGCGTGTGGTGTGTTATGTTCCGTGCGTGCGCGATGCGCGCGTTGTGCAGTAATATTTATTGTGGGCTTGCCTATGTGCTCGTGCCTAATATGTGAGTGCTTATCGCCGATCATTCCCCCCCCACCCTCGGTACGGATTTACGGCCCACTGATCTACGCCGACACTTCACGGTTCTCATCTGCCGCTCCCCCCCCAAAAGAAAAACAACATACTTGTCGGCGGGAAAATGTTCGGCAATGTGCGCCATGCAGGCTTAACCTATCGCAGTCACCACGAAGCACACTGGTGCGTGTACGCGTGACGTGGTGCTGACAATCATATTAACTTGGTGTCATGTGCGGGTGAACAATTGCTGAGCGCACATTGCCAAACATTTTGCAGCGAACAACTTCGTGGCGCCGTCCAGTAGCTGTGTTGTAAAGAGTCACGTGATCGGCGCATGATTGGGCACAAAAATCATGTGACCACATATCGTGCTGCTATTGGTTACTACTTTACAAATGTTCCTAGAATTGTTCGACATTCAGCGCACATTGACGAACATTCAACGAACAATGTTCGAGATATCAAACATTTCCGATCTTCAGAAACATTGTTTGGAACAAATGTTCGGCGACATTTTTCACCGCACATGCATTCACGGACATTTCGTGGAACATTGCTACGATAATGTTTTTGAGCAAAATGTTCGGCAATGTGCGCCGGGCTTTACATAAGATTTACATTTCGGTATGCATCTCAGACTTCAGGCCAGTTAGCGTGCGCGTTTCGCACTACTTTTTAACTGTACAGTGGAGTATTCTCCTATATCTGAAGTCACCTAACTAATTGAAGAGAGTTAACTAAACATTAGTTTAACTAATTATTAAATTACGCCGCGTTCGTTTCATCTAATCGCACGTGAATCATCTTGTGTTGCTCCTTCTTTATTATATATTCAGAAGGAAGATGGCGCTGCTCGTTCTACAGCTCGTTTTCGCCTGCCTCGTGATCAGCTGCGCCACCACCTCTCGCCAGGAGGCGCGCGGATACAACGACCGCCACGGATCGAAGACGCTGCTCAGACTCGTTCCCGTGTTGACGCCGGAAAAAGTGGACGCCTTGGAGCAGGCGCGCGATGCTGACGCCGTCTGGCGGCAAGCGTACGAGAAGCGTGCGGGGCCCCGGCTATCGGTGATCAGCTCCTTGGATGTGCTACGCAGGCAGCTGCAGATGGTCAAGGATCGACAGAACAAGCAAGCGCATGGTTACCAGGCCTCGGCCAACCAGAACTTCCTCGACAGGCTGGGTTGATGAACGTCTTAACAGCGTTCATGATCCTAGTCTTAAGCGTAGCCACCTCAATATATATATCATGGATTAATAATGACAAATTGTCATTATTAGGCAAATTAGGCACAATTAGTCAAATTGTCATTGTCATTTAGACAAATTGTCATAACGTGTACCGCAGTTTTATCCCATTGCTGCTAACAAAAATCTTCTTTGTCAGCAAAACTGCTGTAAGCCTAAGAAGTAAGCGTTTGCACAACGTACGTTCCTGCCCCCCCCCCCCCCTGAGCTCACGAGTTGTCTCTGGTCTGTGGAATGCAATAAGACCGTTCGCTCTTTCGCAAATCAACATCCTGTTACTATTAATATACAGCCAGAAAACATAAAAGTTGGCAACATTATATTAATTAGATGGGCTGGTATCGTACACGGAACATAGAACATGGAACATGGAAATGTGAACCACAAAATTAACAGTTTTACATCAGAAACTATCTAAATATTTTCACCAACGGTTAGAATTGAAAATTAAAATTTGTAGTTGACCATTTGGCATGTCAAGAATTTTTCTGTATTATATAACATCCAATTTATCAGTCAAAACAGTGTGTGTGTGCGCGTGTGCGTGCGTGCGTGCGTGCGTGTGGGTATGTGTGCGTGTGTGTGTGTGTACGTGCCTGTGTGCGTGTGTGTGTGCGTGCGTGCGTACGTGCGTGTATACGTGCTTGTGTGTGTATATGCGTGTACACTTATAACATTATAGACGTAGCTCACTCCGTATTTAATCCGAAATCGTGTCATATTTACGATGGAAATCACGTACCAAGACATGCCAAACAAGATGCTTATATAAGTTGTATCATAATTCTTTAATACTTGCTACTTTCATATTTATAAACTGTAGTAGCAGAAAGGTATTCTGATACTATAGACGTTTTAGCAGTCAGAATAAAAGCTTCACCGATATAAATCCAGCACCAATATTTACAGGATAAAATGAAGGGATATTTTCATGATTAATTACAGAAAACAATTAGTAGTATGAGCATAATATTGAGTGGGTAAGGTTCAATGATAAGGCACTGATATAAACCATAAAAGGCGCTATTACATGATCGAGTAATTGTTCACCTAAGATTGATTTTTAGTCACTATTCAACTATTTGACTGGAACTGATGAGCTATTTATTTGTCTAGTCATTACGCCATAATACATCACTCGTGCCACGTCTCTTGATCGGGCACATATGCAATTCCTCATACTTGCACTACCACATAAACCTCTGTTTCACGCTAACATCGGGCCAAGCGAATGGTTTCTCTAGAAACAGCCGTAGCGTAGCGACATTGACTGCCACGTAAAATGCAAGCTCCATGGACAGCTTCCATGGGCTGAAGGTTCGCATGTGCAAGCGAAACATGAGGTAGGGAAGGATGAAGTAGCGGAACTCGAGCAGGCTCTGCGGAACGGTCGCCAGCGAGCAGCACGCCGCGAAGACGAGCTTCCACGGCGGTGTTCTGCTGCACAGCCGCACGTAGCACGACCAGAGCGCAAACACGTATGCGCCGACCAGGAGATACCTGACGAGCGCGTGCCGCTCGAACACCTTACGCCACACGTAGAATGGGTAGTGCCTGTTGTCGGCGAGTAAGTACGGGTGCACGTACGTGAGCCAGTGCACGGCCGGCAGCATAGCCGCGGCAAGACCGAGGGCGAGGCACGGTCGCCGCCGCAGGCAGCGCACGAAGTGTGCAGCCGTGCGGCGGCCGACGGTGAAGGGGAATGCGAAGACCGTCGAGAACGCGCACAGGTAGAAGAGCTGGGGGACGTGGAAGCTCGCTCGGTGCGACGACCGGTCGCCGACGACCAGCGAGCCGTTGTACGCGACAAACGCGACGAAGCCGGCAGCGAGGATCGCGTATGGCCACGCGACGGCGGCGACTTGCCGCGCGATGCCCGCGACGCCTCTCTTCGGGTCGGCGAGGACGCGGCGCATCGCGGCGCGCAGCAGATCGACATACTCTCGCTCGCTCAGCTGCCTGCCGTCGTCGCGCTCCATCGTGCTCCCGCACTGCGCGTAAGCGGTTACCCGTGCGGTGACGGCGCAGCCGCATGCGAACGCCGCCCACACAATGTTTGTCTGCCGCATCGCCACCGCGCACGCTCCGACCGCAGCGGCCGCCGCGTGGTTGCCATGGAGACTGAGCAGATAGAGCAGCAGGGCGAAGAACACGGATCCGGCGTCTGTGTAGTAGAGGAACGTGAAGAAGTACAGCACCGGGAACAGCGTGAGATTAATGGCTGCCAGCAGAGCTCTGTTCGTGGAGAAATCCTGTAAACGAAAGTTGCCTAACATTATGTCCGCATCAGTGATGGCAAAACTACCTCCATCGACTGGAATCAGTAGACATGGTTAGTCGCTACATTGCAGAAGAAAACATTCCTATTCTATTTCTTAATGATATGGCCACGTCTCTTATCGATTAACTAGTTAATATAGGATACATTCGTTTCAGTTATCAATTTTTAATAAAGCGCCGCAGAACAACAGGATTTATTCAAAGGCTACAGATCTTACTACACTTGCTACCATTATCACTAGTAACACAACAGAAATTACAGCTGCAATTATTACTCATACTGCTATTTGTTTTCGTGTTGCTATTATTACTATCCTACAGATTTTCTTTTACTAGCAGGTCCAAAATGACAAAGTACTTTTTATTACCTGTCTACATCCTAATTATAACCACCGTGCTTAATTATGAAGCCAGTTAGATTTTCAACCATTATTGTCGACAAATGGATACACGGAGATACTTTTGTCATTCTACTAGAGCTATGCTTCTACCAATGTCAGCTCAAAATACAAGCTCAGACATATACGCTAGTGCCTCCTACTGAGCAAGATTGTGCGTCATATATATGTACTTGCTAAGCATCACAATATTTAGTTAGTTTATAAAACATTCATTACTGTGAATGAAAAAACATGACTAAATGTAGATGAAAGAGTGAACTATAGATTAAAACTCATTATACCTTGCTAGTCTGGTAATGGAGTTTCCAAAGAATACACCAAATAACATAGAGGTTTCCCACAGCAAATAGTACGTTGATAGATCTAAGCCAAAATGGTGTGCAAAACTCCAAGTTGTGAAACTTGAACAACACTGCCAGTGGTTTCAAGAGGCCAACAGAAACCAGGTACAGACCAGGTAGAGTTGTGATCATTGGGTCCCACTGCAATGTACAAGAACATGTTGATATTTAGGTTTAATTTTACACACCATAGATTGCATATCACAAACTGTAATATCTAATAAAATCATCAAGATTTTAGCCAAGTTATTCAAACAAGGCCTTTTGTGATTTTTGAAGGTACGCCTTTTGCGAGGTACGGTCCGGCATATTAGATAGTACCAGGGTACGTTCCGGTATACCGGACCCGTAATTTTGGTAGTTTTGTAAATGTGTTAAACTAATACGGGGTGTTAAACTAGGATTTGGCCGTGTCGACAGACGTGTCAGTCACAGCGCCAGTACCATTGGCATTGCCATGGCACTCCACTATCGTGACTATGTAACTGGATTGAGCAGGCGACACTGCCTTAGTGACAGTTAGTCTTACTCTAACTCTTAGTCTTAGTCTTACTCTTAGTTAGGCTGATAGGGTCTATGTCCCCCAGAGTACTGCCGAAACGTAACTATCTAATATGCCGGACCGTACCTCGCCTACTCCAAACCGTACCTCGACTTTCAGCCAATGTCGTAATACATACCGCTTGTCGGCAGGAAACGCGCCGCTTTATGCTCCCGTTCCTTATTTCCGGTCCGTTCCCGCAAAATATTCGTAACCCTTACCCTGTTACGTTTAACCTCCCGACCCTTTCTACAAGTGTCAGCAAATCTATACGTTTCCAACCCATTAAGATAGTCATACAAATTTTCCTGTTCCACCACAACACTTGGAGCCATTTTTCAAAAATCTTGCGCGAAAATGCGTGAAAATGTTGTAAACATTGCGAAAGGAAAACGCATTCCCGATCATCGCGATATTTGCAAAAGGATTGCGCGCATCAGTGTATATAGGTTGAAATTTCTTCTTGGTTTCACAGTTTCATACTCCAATCCAACTTTATAAAGATATCATACTGGTCTGTATGTATATTTCAAATTTTGCGACATCAGTAGTGGGTGGAACAGGGACAGTCAGGGTACGGTAGGGAGTAAGCGAGGTACGGTCCGCCATATCAGATAGTTATCAGGGTACGTTTCCGTATACCGGACCGTACCCAGGGTACGTTCCGGCAGTACCCTGGAGGGCATAGACCCTATCAGCCTTGGTTAGACTTAGTTAGCTCCAAGAAACGGTATTGCGACGGTTAGAATACCGTTTATTGACGTTATTGATATACGTATATTGACGTTAGTCACACAGCCTAGTCGGGTTAGGGTTAGGGTTAGGGTTTATGGTTCAAGGATAGAGAACATGGGGGCCCCCAATAAAACCAATGTCATTTACATCAATATAAATATAATATTATAATATATCAATATAATAGGTTAGAGTTACTAGTACTAGTATTACTATTAAACTTATAGCCCAACCAGGCTGTGCGACGGATTGTCTATACAGTCTATTGTCTATACAGCCTATATTGTCTATACGGATTGTCTTATAACCCTAGCAATACCGTTTCTTGGCGCTAGCTTCAGTTACTGAGTTAGTCTGACTTAGATTACCTTAGTAAAGTTGCCTTCGCAATATGACTGAGCTTGTGGTATATGAAATATCTCATCCATATACGGTTCTGGTTGTTCATTATTTATGACAGTCAGAATATATATACTCAAGCCAAAGAAAACTCCTGAGACTTCTAAGAATAACAAATTCGCCCCAGAATACATGGGGGCAGCCATTTTGGAAGAACCACACTGTACACATCATAAAACGGAATGTTATAAGCCTAATACAAACTTTACAAAATGATTTAGTGAATACTTTCTGTAGAAATTATTCTGATTATTACAATATTTTCCGTTTATTGTAGTTGTTATATAAGCTGCGCTTTTAGAATATTTATTTAGAAACTGAGACCGATATTATTTAGATAGTAACAAAGTATCCGCAATAATCCATCATCCATAATGTCAGCTCCCGATGAGTTGAATCATATGGTTGAATTTAAATTTTGCCTGGTTTCTTGGTGTTTAACTTAATACTGATATTCCTAAATATGTAATGAATTTTACTTTACATTTATAGTCAGCATGCAAGAGAAATTTGTTTTGGAACAATTTGATGGAGAGTCTGTGGCGTTAAGTTTGTTTTCAGACGTAAAAAATTCCCGGGAAATTCGTCAATCAATCGTTGAAGGGAACGTAGAGGCTGGTGTTCTGACAGCAGCATTGGTAGGCATAACATACTACGACTTACTATAGTGTATAGCACATAACACAGTCATGTTACCTCTTAAAGATCGTCCTAAAGATTTTCTTTATCACATTAGTTGACAAAATACGGTAATTTCAAGAGGGCGTGCTCTGGAACGAACTAGTTAGTATGGCATTATTTTCAGGGAGACACATGACAAATCCTGCATATCCACACATTCTGCAAATTCCACAAATTCTGCAAATTCCGCACATTCCACACATGTTACAGTCCTGCATAAGTCAAAGTCAGGTAGTTCTGACAGTAAATCACGGGAGTATTTGATCCTGACTTCCGTTAATTAGCACCCTATATTCGTATATACAGTGTCCAGTATACATGGTGTAACTGCGGGTGGTCTCGAGAAAGTATTTGAGCCGAAAATAAACGACGATATAATGTTGTGTTTACATACTTGTTGACACGTCTTGCTTTGATGATAGTTGGTTGTCGCTCTAAACGCTCTTCAGAGGCTTACGTTTCTCGTTGTAAAACATACCGACTGATAAATAAAGATTCACTGTGAACTTGAACTTCGATGGCGACTTATTCTCGTGAGACCCCCATTCCTGTAAGTGTACTTTGTGGCATGGTAACTTGCATAGACAATGCAGCGTTCTTCCCTATCGTCTGCGCAACTACGGGCGGGCGCGTTTGGAAAAAACTCTCTCCTGTTTCAATCCTTGCGCCCCGTTTTAATTACCTCCGCCCCGTTTAAATTCACAACAATAAAAGTTGCCAGCGGGGCGGGAATCGATCGTGCAAAGAATTCTTCCATTCGACAATGCAGACGGACACTGGCCGGGCGCTGTATTTTTACCTGTGCACCAATTAGCACTGTCACACAATAGCAGCAGGTGCAAACAGTCCAAGCCTGTCCACCCAACAATAACTGTACACCGACTCGGCTATCTATATATACAAGAACCCAATATAGCCGTCTTGGTGTGTGAGATTTTGATCGCATTAATCTAGTGGTACGGTAAAAAAACAAAACCGCGCCCCCGGACCCGTCCCTATGTTAGTTTATATTTTGGTGAGGGTATTGGGACGAGAACGGGTCATCTGAAATTTCGTGAGATTCGTCCATGTCAAATGCATGCGCTGTCGAATGCGGCCCCGCTACGCCGGCTGATTGGCACGACAAAAAAACCCTACCGTCCGCTTCTACCATGCTTTACCTTGCTACCTGGCTATGTGTTAATTCATTCAATCGTTATCTCACTTCTAAACAGATATTTTTTTCAAGAAACACCCGCTCAATTTCACTTTAGTAATTACGTTTGCCATTTACAATCATAGACCAATCAGAGTGAGGCTTTACAATAGCCCTGGTTCTCGCTTGTATCTGTGGCACTGCAGGTAGGGCTGATAGACTCGCTCTGTATTGTCTGATTGTTTGTAATGGCGAAACGTAATTTACTAAGTTAATGTAAAAGGTTTCTGAAAACAATCCTTTTAAAGTGAATAACGATTGGAAAGTGCATGTATACACATATCAGTAGCAAGGTAAAGCCATGTAGAAGGGAAGCGGTAGCTTTCTTTTTTCCCGCGCCAATAGCGCCGAGCAGGCCGGCTTTCTCAGGCATGCATTTTGCATGCGATCTCACGAAATTTGCAATGAACCCGTTCTGTCCAAATACCATCACCAAAATATAAAAAAGGTTATATGGGACAGAATTATTCGGTCTAGTCCGGTGGTTGCCGATTTCAAGCGAATTGTCGCTATAAAAAGAATGTGGCTGCAGTATTTGTTATTTTATATACCGTCACAGCAAACACTCGTGGTAATTTTTTATACTGGAGTAATCTGTAACATGTTCACTAAAAGGAGAAACTATATTTTGCTATATTTTTATGAATTGTGTAGTTATTTATGAAATGATTTCTTTATTGTAATCAAGAAAAGGGAAGTATATTAGTACATTATCTTATACAGTAATGCATGAATATATTATAAGGTTTACATACATATTTATTAATTACTTCAATATTAATAACCACAACCAATGCAGTTTTACATGAATTAGATAACACTGGATAAGGTAACAGTGGTAGAGGTGATGGAAAATTAATACGAACACTAAATGTTCATAGGAAAAAAACTGTGATTGAATCATCAATATTTAGGTAAACTACTAGGTACAAAAGTAAAGAGTAAGATTGTAATATATATTTACATACATTATTTGTCTTGTAACTAACACAAATTAATTTCCTGAATCTATTATACATCTACAGTTAAAATATTTAAATTGTCTACGTTACGAATCTCCTGAGAGTTATAGATGTAACCTTACTTTTGTAATTTTTACATTAAAGGTTAGTACTAACGTTACTAAATATATCCTCAAACTCTCACCTGATAATAATGTTATTACGTTGGTTAAATTTTCAAAAATCTAGACGATTTGAATTACTGCCGTCAACACTATTTATAGTCTAGTGTTATTTACTGGCGTCTCTCGGTTGCTGTGGTCGGTGTCATCGTGATTTGTGTATGGTGCACAGAGTGGTGCCCAAACAGTTTCTGTTTTGATTTATGTTAGCTATATAGAATATATAATATAGGAAAAATTAATAATATATGTTCATGTGTATTATGTTTGGAAAAATTATAAATAAAACTGCGAAATGCTATTTGTGTTTTTAGCTCATCTGACATAGTCAGATGCAGCTTACACATGACAAATCCTGCATATCCACACATTCTGCAAATTCCACAAATTCTGCAAATTCCGCACATTCCACACATGACAGTCCTGCATATGTCAAATCAGGTAGTCTGACAGTAAATCAGGGAGTATTTGACTCCTGACTCCCGTTAATTTCGCACCCTGATATACGTATATACAGTGTCAGTATACATGGTGTAACTCGGGTGGTCTCGAGAAAGTATTTGGCGAAATATACGACGATTAATATGTTTGTTTACATCTTGTTGACACAGTTGCTTGATGATAGTTGGTTGGTCGGTCTTAAAAGCTCTTCAGAGCTTACGTTTCTCGTTGTAAACATACCGACTATAAATAAAGATTACTTGAACTTGAACTTGATGCGACTTATTTCTCGTGAGACCCCATTCCTGTAGTGTACTTTGGCATGGTAACTTGAATTAGACAATGCAGGGTTCTCCCTACGTTGCGCAAACGGGGCGCGTTTGGGAAAACTCCCCCCTGTTTCAATCCTTGCGCCCCGTTTAAATTACCTCCGCCCCGTTTAAATTCCACCACAATAAAAGTTTGCCAGCGCGGGAATCGATCGTCAAGAATTCTCATTCGACCAGGACACCCGGCGCGTGTATTTTTACCGTGCCACGCATGCACTGCACACAATACACAGGTGCAAACAGTCTACCTGTCCCACACCCAACAATAACTGTACACCGACTCGGCTATCTTATATATACAAGAACCCCAAATACCGTCTGTGGTGTGGTGATGATTTTACGCATTAATTAGTGGTACGGTAAAAAAACACGCCCCCCGGACCCCCCTAGTTATGTTTTTATATTTTGGTGAGGGTTATTGGGACAGAACCGGGTGATTCATTGAAAAATTGCGTGAAGATCGCCATTGCGAAAGTGCGATCGCGGTGCGAATGCGGCCCGTACGGCCGCTGATTGGTCCCTACGAAAAAAAACCTACCGTCGCGCTGCTACATGCGCTTTACCGTGCGCTACTGGTATTTGTGTATAACATTCTACTTCATCGTTATTCCATCTTCTTACAATAAGATATTTTTTCAAGAAACCCCGCTTCAATTTCACTTTAGTAATACGTTTGCCATATTACAATAATAGGACCAATCAGAGTGAGGCTTACATATAGCCCTGTTCTCGCTTGTATCTGTGGCGCACTGCAGGGAGGGCTGACTAGACTCGCTCTGACTTGCGTCTGATTGTATTTGAAATGGGGCGAACGTAATATTACTAAGGTAAATGAAAGCGGGTGTTTCTGAAAAACAATCTTTTTAGAACGTGAATAACGATGAGTGAATGTAATAACATAATCAGTAGCAAGTAAACCATGTAGAAGGAACCGGATAGGTTGTTTTTCCGCGGCCAATAGCGGCGTTACCCAGGCCGGCCACTTTCTCGGGCGCCATGCATTTTGCATGCGATCTCACCCGAAAATTTCCCAGATGTAACCCCGTTCCTGCTCCAAACATTCACCTAAAAATATTAAAAAGGTTTTATGGGAGCCCAGAATTAGTCCCGGTCTAGTTCCGGTGTGGTTGCCGGATTGTCAAGCGAATTGTCCGCTATAAAAGGAATGTGGCTTGCAGTATTTGTTATTGTATTTATGACCGTGCACGAGCAAACACCGGGAAGTTTCTGATACTTGGGGAATAATCGATGTAGACATGTTCACTAAAGCGAAAACCGTTATATTTTTTAGTATGATTTATGATTGGTAGGTTATGTATTGTATAAATTATTTTCCTCTTATTGTAATTCCCTTAAGAAAAGGGGAAGATATATAGTACATTATCGGTAGACATTGTTATATTATTGCAATGAAGTTATATTATAGGTTATTGATTCAATACATATGTAGTTAATTACTGTTCAATTATTAAGTTAACCACAACAAATGCAGTTTTAATGAATGTAGATATACAGCTGGATAAGCGCTAACAGTGGTAGATACTGGCTTGATGGAAAATTAATACGAACACTAAATTGTTCATAGGGAAGAAAACGAGGTTGAAGTCGAATCCCAATTATTTAGGGCTAATGGACTACTAGCGTACAAGAAGGTAAGATGTGAGTAAGATTGAATAGTTTATATTACATACACGCCCATAGTAGTATTATTTGTCTGTAACTAACACAAATTAGATTTCCCTGAATTCTTATATATACATCTACAGTTAAGATTTTAAAGTTGGTCTACGTTACGGTAATTCTCGCTGAGATTATTAGATGTAAACCTTCTTTTGTAATTTTACATTAAAGGTTAGTACTAACGTTACTAATAATCTCGAAACCTCTCACCTGAATAATAATGTTAGTACGTTGGTTAAATTTTCAAAATCTTTGACGAATTTGAATGACTAGCCTCGTATTAGCACTTATTTATAGGTCTAGTGTTTATTTACTGCGTTTTCTCGGGGGTTGCCTGTGGTCGGCTGTGCATTTGTATTTTTGTGTATGTGGTGCACAGGTGTGTGTGAGTGTGTTGTTCCCAACCATCGTTGTCATTATGTTAGGGCTATTATTAGAATATATAATATAGGAAAAAAATTAATAATATATGTTCAGTGTGTATTATGCTTTGAAAAATTTTAAGATAAAGCTGTCTGTAAATGCTATTTTGTTTAGGTCTTTTATTTCTGAGATAGTCTAGATTGCTAGCGTAAGCTGGCTGGGGTGGGTCTTGCTAGGAATCGCGATGATCGTAATCGTCCGTTCGGTCTGTTGGGGTGTGGTGGTGCTGTTGCTGTGGTCGTTCCGTTCAATTTCTCCGAGTTTGCGGCATTTCAAAATCTTAAGTGGTGGTGTTGTGGGTGTGTCGCTCGATTAGTTTTATTTCTTCGGTTCACGATATTTTGGACGTGGGTGGGGTACATCCGAAAGACGAGGTTGGATGGGTTGAAGCTGCGGGGGTTAAGTCCCAAAGGTCGGAGAGTTGTAAAGAAGGCGAACCATCCGCCTCCTTAACTTATAGGGTATAACGAGAAATGGCAGAATTCGCGCACAATTCTGAAAGCGGCTCGACCTCTAGGCCTCGTGATAGGTTCCCCGTGTTATAGCATCATGGTAGGAAAAGCGCATCACTGCCTGCGAAATTGGACGGTCCACAGTGGTTAAAAGGTCAATTTAGGCGAAGAGCATTGTTAAACGTTTCTAGTAAATCACGCGGGAGGTGATTGGAATATGAACATTATTTGTTTCCAGGCTGGTGACCCTACCCGATTTTCATGGCTTTTATTAGATATGGCACCATATATTATGTGTCGTGTCCCATTACGTTCAAAAAGTAGAGTGTTTGCTGGGGGGGACTGATAACTTTTGACCCTCAGAGGGTGATTAAGACATGATATTGTTTACTGTTGGCGGAGAAAGAATTTGACTTGCGGGGGTTGCCTAGGGTAGAATCGTATTAGCAGTGCTGATGTATGAAGGACCCCTACAATGCGTCCACCTTAGGTGAAAGTTTTTCGAGAGGAAGCTAAATTTGCTTATAGATAGGTTTATGCTCCTTAAAGTCGTATAATTTCTATGGGGGCAGTTCTGCTACTGTCCAGCTGTTTACCATGTTAACTTAATTATGCACTGGCCAGTGCATGGTTGGTGTGATAGTACGGGTGTAAAAACGTTAGGTTATTTGCTGCGTTAATTAGGTACAGGTGGGCAGCCTCTCTATGGTCAGCCGGTAGGCTTGCGTAAGGTAAATGGGACGAGGTGCCTACCTATTCCTGCTCTTGAAATAGTTGTTGCTATACCTACGTTCGATGGAAGCTTCCATCTTTAATTCTTACAGACATTCAAACGTTAGTCCATTTCGATGGCAACTCTTGCTAGTAACGATCCCAACGAACCATTTTCTGTGGGTGTCAGGGAAGGCTTCTGATGGACCATTCCCCCAGCTGTTTGAATAACGGCTATCCGTTTTGTCCGTACTTGTACCATTTAAAGGACAAGTGCGCATCTGTCCAGGGTAGCTTGGTCGCTGGACCAAGCAGCTTTCTAGAGCAATTATTTCAATAATTTTTTACCATCCCGGCTGGCCGCTGCTGGAAACCCCGAGTTAACTAGTAGGTGATGTAACGATATACCGGGTGTATATCCGGATTATATTGCCAATATATTTCTGAAACTCGATATATCGCGATACAACTTCCCGGATACTCGATTATTCTACGATACGGTGGTTAAACAAGAAGATAAATTACATTGACACTTGGCCATTTATTGTCTATTTGTTAACTGCGCTCGAAAATTATTGACACTGGCGAGCCTGTATATAGTATTACGAAGCCCAATGCCTACACGCGGCATACAGGTATTACTGGTAAGTGACCACTGCGCTGGAGCACTGCGCCAGGTACTACTGCGCGGCCAGAGTGGCGGCCAGAGATCACGGCAACAGGGAGTCTATATATAGGCTATGCTCACCTGATCGACAGTGCCCAGCGCCCCGCCCGCGCGATACACACGCTCGAAAGCGAGCACCCACTGCACCTTGTTTCAGTGCCAGGTTTCAGTTTAAGTATTTAAGTTTTCAAGTAATCCAGTATTAGCCAATTATGGCAGCAGGCGCGATATTGTGTATTCCAGCCCACGGGCAGTGTCCTTTCGACGAGCGGGTATTCCCCAGTACAGGCGAGGGTGACATTGGGTATTCACCGCCGCACAGACGACGCTGCACTCAGGAGGCACAAAATCACGGGGGGCTAGGCGGGACAATGTTCCCCCCCAAAACGGAATTTTACAGTAGGCGGGAATTCATGACAAATTTGTCCCCCCACGATTTTTGGATCACCATGATATTTGTTGTGTGGGTTGGTGCCGGTCGTGGGCGGGTGCGCTCTGCGGCTGCGTGGCGTGGCGGTGTGCCTAGTGTTGTTTTTTTGAAAGTGAGAACCTTTTTAATTGCTGTGATCGTGCGCAGTCAACGATTGGCCTTCTTAACTTTGTTTTGGCAGCTTTTCATTTCATTTCCCAAGGGCTGCCATTTTGGGAGGGGGGAGCATAATAATAATACCATGCACCAACTTGAGAAAAAATGTTATCTGATAAATTTTTTTTCAGTGAGTACCGGTTTTTCCTTTTTATACAGTTTTTCTCCCTTTCTTCCCTATATTTAAAATATTCTTATGACGAAATCATCCAAGAGAAAAGTATGTTTATGAAAGCTTTAGGAGATATCACTCACATGTAGACAGCTTGATTCAAGCTGGAACACGAGGCTATTAGTCATTGCCAAGAGAGAACTTAGTAAATGAGCATCGCGTTTTAATAATGGTGGGGCCGGAATTTCCATTGGGCAAATTGGATAGTATATATACACGGCATATATGATATGGACTGGACCACAATAATAACGGTGAGCCAACTATTATTGTCGTGATCAGCCTCAACCAAACAAGATGATTGGTTTTTCTGCTTTTGTTTTCTTTGTTTTTATGACTGCAGGTTGGACACCCCGTTTCTAATCTTATCACAAAACAAATGGCCGCTCGGTGTGCTTGTGTGTGTGGCCTGGCTGTGTGTGTGTGTGTGGTGGGTCTGTGTGTCGTGTTAGTGTGCGATGCACTGGCGTGGCACGTGCGTGCTTCGCGGGTTGGGCGTGGCTGTAGGGTGGTGTGTGTGTGCTGTGTTTTCGAGGGCCAACCAGCGCCGGCCCAGACCCGCCCCCGCCGGCGCCAGGCCAGGCACCGGGCCCGACGCGGCCCGGCCGACCCGCCGCACGCCCGGCGGCATGTGCACAGGAACCCCCCCCCTGCTCGCAGCAGAAAACGCATCTGAGAGGGTCTAATTTTCAAAAATTCCCCCCCCCCCCTTCGCGCTTGTTTGCAGGGGGGATACTGAGTGTCCCCCCCACAATTCAAAATGTAATTCATGCCGCGCCTGACTGCAGCTGTCAGCGCGAAACATTGCGTTGTCGGCTTCTGTTTTTTCTCAAGAAAAAACATTGGGAGAATTAAATCCCATGGCATACCGCTCCAATAACAATATATGATGATATTAAAACCACAAAATTAGTTACTATATCATGCATGGTTATACACTATCCCAATGACGGTATTGGAAAATTATTGCAATACGGTTTTGTCGTATTGGCCCCAATATATTGCCCAATACAATTTTTGGTCGCCAATACTCACCCCTATAGAACATAGTTAAACATGCTGGGCTGCCGAGAAAGTGCTACCCGCAATTTAACATATAGTATAACATGTGTATTGCTGAAGTTATATAAAACTTATTCCGCCTGCTAGCTCCACGCAAGACAGCGTCTTTGCTACTGTAGCAACATTAGACAAATTTTGTCAGTTTCTGCATAGACAATTCAGTGACATTTGCTATAGACAATCAGTTCGCATTACAGCCCGCTCGCGACAGCCGCTACCACCTCGAGAAGAGTAAATGACGGAGAGAAGGATGAGAGAGAGGCCGAGGGGATCGAGAGACGAGAGAAGAGATAACGTGGAGCGCAAGAGAGAGGAAGCAGAGAGGAGCAGATTCGAGATGAGGAGAGAGCGAGAGAGAGACGAGGAGAAGAGAGGAGGCACTGAAGAGAGAGAGAGGAAGAGAGAGAGGAGAGGGAGAGCAGAAAAGCAGAGAGAGAAGACCAAGACAGAAGAAAGAGCAGACAACGAGGGAGAGTGAGTGTGAGCGAGCGAGAGAGAGAGAGCGTGAAGGGAAGAGAGAGCAAGAGAGAGAGATAGAGAGAGAGCGAGAGATAGAGAGCGCGAAGGGAAGAGAGAGCGAAAGAGAAAGAATGAGAGACAACGAGGGGGAGCGAACGCGGCGATGGGAGGGTGCTCTTGATTCGTTTGCCAGTGAGTTTAGCATCAGAACACCTGCCGTCAGGTGAGCGCTGTCGCTCTGCGACACTTGTTTTAATTTCTGCCAACAAAAATGTTTGCGACATCACCTTTCACGCTAGATCAACTCAACGATAAACAATGGTGGGCAAACCAGTTCAATTCAGTGCATCGGAAAGAAAACGAAGGAGAAAAAAGCAGAAAGAAGTTTATATTAGAAACTCCCGCTTAAGTTTACAAGGCATTTCCATGGCTGCCACAATAGTTTTGCCAATGCCTCGTTTACCGCAGATGTTCGCTATATTGGCTAGCTGCGTCTGAGTGCCACGCAAGAGTTTCGAATAAATGGCGGTTGTGTTTGTGTCGAGCGTTTGGTTACATCAAATGCACCGGCAAATTAGGGAGTATAAAGAAGGTATATAAGCATGAAAAGTAAACAGAAACACTAATTGTATTTTCATACATTTTATTTTGTACAAATGACACACAAATATTCTACTTGCTGGTTCTAAAAATTTGTGACATAGACAATTTAATGATCAAATCCTGTATTTACATGTCAGTAGACTCCGTACACAACAAATTAATGATTCATTTTATTGCCAAGTACTATTCCTATCTGATATTTCATGGTTTTAAATATGTTTTTGCTTCTCTATCGTGCCTATAAAGATACTTTTATAATGAGCTGGACCAGAAGGTAAATCAGACGAATTAACAAACTAGTACGGGCCAAAAAATTGACATGGACATTACCCAGTGTTTTGGGGCACTGCGGTAAGCGAGGGTGATCGTTGCACTTGACGTCGGTGCAGTTGTGAAATTCAAGGTCTGCACGACTTTAGAAAAGTTGAAAAGTTGTTCAGAAATAATCCATTACCAGTATCTAAGAAAAATACCTAAGGAACAGCTGACGAGTGTGAAATTCGAATTGCACACATTGATTTTCATTACGTATATATCTATTACTAGTCATGCTACTATCAGTAAAATGTACACATTTAGATTAATGCACTAGCCTATCTCAGCTGGAGTTGGAATGTAGATCTAGCTAGCTGGAAGCAACATGGATGCCCTAATTCATTATATATAATACTCAATATATTCGTGGATTTTCTCTTGCTAGCACGTGTGTTTAGATGAGGCATGTCCCAACCTCACCAGTGTGTGGATCAATCTCCTTGTAAGAAGAGGTTTCAACATTGTAATACTGACAGTATAGGTCACTGGCACAACTGCCAGCCCACATGTTGTAGCCACCACATGTATCCATCATGTCCTGCAACAAGTTTGAAAAAAGAAATTGGAATCACTTTTAAAAAGTTCAGATTGTTTAGGTCAACTTATTTTTTAGCCCTGTTTCATCACATTCTTTAAAAAAGACAAAGGTGTGTTAAGAGCATATATCAAATAAATCTGGATGATAAATAGAAAACAGGTATTCAAATAATGTACGTTCTGTATGATGCACTTTGACTGTGTTAGTCTATTAGTAAGATTGGCATGTGCATGTGTACACAAACCAAACACACAACTGAGATAGTAATGTGCATCGTCGATAGTCGACCCCGTATCGTAGCACCACTCGCCTAAATAAGTGTGTTACCCGTATCCAGGAGATGAATTATTATAGAGCTGGTTGTATTCTGTTAGATACATTACATGTCGTCATTAAAAGTACATTGAAAAGTTACGTGCGCGTAACGTCTGGCGTGATTCTAACTCGGCTACCCCGTGTGCTGCTTACCCCTTGTAGTGCAGCGCACGCCCGGCAGCAGTAGCACTGGTGGTCAGGCTCCCAGCGTTTGTCCGCGAAGCAGGCGGATGGGTTTGAGCAAATTCCCTGCAGGTAGGCGGTGCAGAAACATCTCGGCGCGTAGTACCTGTCCGGGTGCTCACTCTCGTCAGCCCTGCAATTGTGCGACAAGTATTCGTTCAACTAACTTGTGTTAAAAACTGCGGTATCGCAGTTTTAGACTCTAGCCACTGGTCACTTGTAGGGTTGACGATAAGTTGAAGTGACGTGTTCTCATGTTGCGCTCGAATTCTTTACATCGCAACGAGTACCTTTGTGTCTTATAACACTAGAGCATCTATAGTTACCAATGTTGAGGTGTTTGAGTTGTATGTGTGTCCGTGTGTGGCTTAGCTTGAGAGTGACTTACCCAGCAAGAGCAAGGAGAGCAAATAGTAGCAGTACGCCTGTCGTCGTCTTGCCTTTCATGGTGAATACTGGCCAAGTGACACGTAAACTTCTGCGTAGGACCTTCTGTGTGGTTTAACGGACCAGCGGTAATGCACACGCTCTTATATCCGCGATCAAGGTCGTGTTTATGCTAGCTGTTGTGAATCTGTCATCGACATCGCAATGTAATGCGTCGTATCTGACATCACACCACATGTTCGCCAACAATATTTACCTAGCCCACTGCGTATGATTGCAAAGATAAGAGAAATAATCAACGCTTTTGATTTTGGCCCCATTACAGAACAGTAAAGTAAAGTAAAGTACTTCAGTCCGGCATCTAAAACCTGATCTTCGTACCACACATTTCGACTTGCAAAAAAAACGAAGCACACAGTATATATTAGTGATGGGAATCGGCTGGAATTTCATCGTCGATCATCGCGGTTGCACCCAACCGACTGACCGATCGATGATCGAAGATAATCGGTTGAAAGTTATTGATCACGGCTACCATATATTGAAATAATATAATATATTATATCATATCATATAATACAGGATTTTTTATAATACAATATTCTAAAAGCCATGTAACAGTATTAGACTTGCTTATTTGGTGTAGGTTAGATTTAGTCTCCGAGCTGTAACGTAACCAAAAAAAACAAAAATAAAATAAAGCGTTATTTCATCAATGTTTGCAAATTTTATTTACTTTTACCCTATTACATTTATTTATTCATTTATTAAATTTATTGCCCCATCTCTTGTTTTCTGGATCCAAAATATTGCCACACACGCAATTGTGTTTTTTCCTGGAAAGTCGAAAAGAGTTTTTCTACTGTTGTGTGACGACGCCATCGTGCAAAAACCCAGTCATGCGGTCTGCGAGAACACATGGCAAGAGAGCAGGTCTGTTCATTAATTGAACCATACTATTGTTGTTGTTCAGGTGTTGGCACCCCTGCAGGTGTTGGCAGCTACTGTGAAGGCAGTTCATGCTCAGAAGAATGGCAGGCTACGCACCCGCAATGTCAACTCCGAGATCGTCTACAACATGTCAGCGTCGAGAAGCGTAAACTATCCCCTTGCAATAACACTTTTTTCCGGTTCTCAACAGGGCCTCACTCTTATTTACATACAGTCGGGTGTGTTATCACTTGCCTTTCAAAACCGCTGGTTAACTACTGCATAGTACGTGGGCACTTACTGCTTAAAAGTATATTTGTCGAATCTGTGAATTCAGAGGGCCTATCGTTCATTTATGTACACGTCTGAGGTAAGTGACATTCCAAGAGCATTCAAGTTAACGTATAGTGGTGGAATCCAATATGCCTGTGTTTGTTGCGACCGTGTAGTTGTGACGCGCTGTTTGCGACGGCTTGCAGATCATGGATTCGTTCAGTAAGTTTGGGATACAGGACGACGATGAAGCCATCGTGGTCGTGACGCTCGGCGATTCCTGCGCGCAGATAGAGACTCTCATCAACGGCACTGCAGTACCTCTCAGCGGGATTTCCGAGTTCACAGACACCGACAGGATAAAGAAGGTATCAGCGATGCCTCACTGTCAGCGTTTCGGGACATTGTGCAGGATTCGGCTGTTCATGAATTGGCGGTCATATTGCTTCGCGTTTTAAGTGAAAGGACCGGCTCTCTGACGGATTAAATGGCAAAGTTCAGTCGCGATAATATATCTGTGTGTGGTTTTACGTTTGCAGGTCTACAAGATCAAGGACGCAGAACTGAGCGCTGGGTCACTGCTGGACGCGGTTGTATCGAGAATAGCTTCGAAAGAATTCGTCTCCTACTAATCGAAAAACCTACTTCGGTGTTTACGCGTCCCGTGGCAGCGCGACTGCAGTGATCGCTCGCAGAAGTGAGGTCTGTCCGCCACTTACAAAACTACAATGGCAACGGGAGACAGCTCAGTGTTCCTGCTGATGCTCGCCGGACAGATAGAAGGCGCCGAATTTCCCGAGTTTGACGAGATCTTCTGCAAGTACTCGTTCGTCTACGGGCAGGACTGGGTGATCACGTCGGGCCTCGAGGAGGGCATCACGCAGATCGCGCGGCGCGGCGCGGCGGCCGAGCGCGGCGGCTTCACGTGGAACTTTCCGCTCGACGTGACGTGGAAGAGCACGAACCCGCACGGGTGGCCGCAGCTCGTCCTCAGCGCGTACGGACGCGACGCGCTCGGCCGAGACGTCGCGCGCGGCTACGGCGTCTGCCACGTGCCGCCGGCGCCGGGGCGCCACCGCCGCCGCGTCGCCATGTTCGTGCCCGAGTCGACGTCGAAGCTGCAGAAGCTGACGAGCTGGCTGCTCGGCCGGCGGCCGGAGTACGTCGATCCGTGCGTCGTTGCGCACGGCGAGGGTCGCGAGGTCACGCGCGTCCGCTCGCAGGGCCACGTCGCCGTTGCGTTCGACATCGTCGCCAAGGACCTGAAGAAACTCGGGTACGACACGAGCGCGCAGGGACTCGCGCTGCCGAGCGAGACGGTCACCGTCGCTGCGTCAACCTAGGGGGCGCCACGAGCGAGACCGTCACCGTCGCCGCGTCAACCTAGGGGGCGCCGCGAACGCTCAGGGACTCGCACTGCCGAGCGAGACGGTCACCGTCGCTGCGTCAACTTAGGGGGCGCCACGAGCGCAGGGACTCGCGCTGGCGAGTGAGACCGTCACCGCCGCCGCGTCAACCTAGGGGGCGCTGCTAGCGCACAGGGACTCGTGCTGCCCAGCAAGACCGTCACCGTCGCCGCGTCAACCTAGGGGGCGCTGCTAGCGCGCAGGGACTCGTGCTGGCGAGTGAGACCGTCACCGCCGCCGCGTCAACCTAGGGGGCGCTGCTAGTGCGCAGGGACTCGTGCTGCCCAGCAAGACCGTCACCGTCGCCGCGTCAACCTAGGGGGCGCCGCGCTGCCCAGCGAGACTGTCGCCGTGTCAACCTAGGGGGCGCCGCGATCACGTAGGGACTCGCACTGCCGAGCGAGACGGTCACCGCTGTGGGAAACATCAATGGCTAGATGTCCATATGTGAACATAGCTTGATGTTGTGACAAGAAAATATAGATGGTTTAAGAAGACTGGAGCATTGTGTCAACATAGCAGGTACCAGGATGAAGACCAAACTATATACATCATTTTCTCGTGGACAGCTGTAAGAAGTCATTGTGTGCTTATGGAGCAATGTGGTGCAAGTAGGATTACTAGTACGCATTAATCTCTCCCTATAGAATGGGAATTTTGCATTTAATTTTCAATTTTCAATGGCGTTTTTGTCATGTAATAAATTTCCACAATCTTGATTGCATATGGTCTCGATTGTTGAGTCTGACAGTGAAATTTAGAGGCCATGACCGATACAACAAAAGGTATAGTAGGTATACATTTGTATACTCATCTTATAAACATATTAGTAGTCATTATTATAAAATATATCTCATTAATTACAATACACATTGTATTTGACATAATTCCATTCCTGTATAGTAAAACAGTATAGTCGTTACAAAATGAAATATTTTCCGAGGTTCCATTTCTCACTGAACATAGATTTTATTACGTGTATTTAAAAAAACAATTTTCAACATTTCACTGTATACTACCTAAACACCTATAGTGCAATGTGGTAAAATGAGTTTATTTGTGAACTGGTTGTATTTTTAATGTGAATTTTGAATAAAATGTTTGAGCTACACAGGATCTTTATCATACCATTACATGGGTCGAAATCATAAGGGGCCCGCGGGCCTGATGTCCATATTTTAAAGGGACTACGTCACAAATTTTCTATGGTAAAATTTGTAAAAAATCCCATTTTTTACATTAGAAGTAAGAACTAACGGGACTAAACAAATCGTCAAATTCTTACCTGATAAGATTGTTTCCCAACTAGTTAAAAGTCCAAAAACCCTGGACGATTTGAATTAATGTTTTCAACATTAATTGCTTGCTATGGGCTATGTATGAGTCACGAGTGTATGTTCACATCAAACAATATAGTAAAATAGGAAGTATAATGCAGCAATTTAACCATAAAACGTGAACAGAATTACTTGTATTTTGTGAAAAAGTGGAAATATTTTTTTTATTTACTGTGACGTAATCACTTTAAGGCTCGGGCCTGACATTTCTAATACTAGCAAGCCCAATGGGCCCATAGAAAATCCATCCCCAGTATGCAAAACCATCCCCGGAACGCCAGCGAGGATGAAAAGTTACCGAAAATTAGTAGTCACTGAATGTTTTTGTATTACTGTAAATATACCATTGTAAAAATTTCAAATTTCAGTCTTTTATTTTTTTTAAATGCTGCGGGATCCGGGGAATGATGTGGGCCTGTAATTTGCCTGACGGGCCTGTAAAATCCCTAACCTACAGGCCTGGGTGGGCTGTAATTTTTCGAACTAATTTCTACCCCTGCCATTAGAAAAGGATGTGACGGCTACCATTACAATGTATGCCCGTCTTTTAAATAGTTACAGCTGTTTCAATAAGTTTATCCGGCATGTATCAAGTCTCATAAGACCAACGTTTATATGCGGTCTACCACTTTATACCATCCAGGTGGGCTGGTACCAAACAGTGTTGAGTCGCAGAGTGACAGGGTTGCATCTCGAATGTCCAACCTCCGCTGGAGAAAGCATAGTTCAGCACCTCTATCTGCTTGTACTCCATAATATCACTAATTCATTACGCATAGGAATGCAAAGATGATATCAAAAATATAAATATATTATACACATACACATGCACTAAAATGTTTTGTACAAATATCTCTACAAATCTTGCTGCATGGCGATGACGACTGGGTGTTTGAAGGAGAGACAGGTGAACACCTCTGTTGTTTATTCTCACAAACGTTTCTTTTCGATAACCTTATGCTCGATCAACACCAACCACTTCATGCCAATTTCCATTCAACTCGAATGCCTCGTACTTCAATCTTGGAAGATGCGCCAGCCATCATGACAACGACAGCATCTGACCGCAATACTCGGCTCGTCTAGTAGATCATATGATATAAGCTCGTGTGAGCCTGCTACGTTGTGTCACTGCATCCGAGTAGGTGGCCCTGCAGCCGTCGTCCTCCTGAGGCTGTTGAAATGATCCAAGTACTGCTGCACGGTGTCCTTTGGCGTGTACGGTTCCGCTATTTTTGCAGCTACTAGCTGTGGAGGAAGCTGAACACTCGGTCCGATGAATCCCTGCATGAATTCTCGCATCAGATCAAAGCAGCTGGCGGGAATGTCGCACGGCTGATACTCGACCTGAGAAAAAACACGAGCAATTTACAACCGAATGTATATCTCATTTCATGGCATCACATAGCTGGGATTTGTTATTGACCTCCATATTTCAATCTACCAAATTCAAATTAAACCTATGTACAGTGGATTAAACAAGATAATAAGATGGGTGTATTATTTGTAGCACTGCAGACACTGATAAGAAACACACCTCCACGAGTATGCCTTTGAAACTTGGTCCAATGGACACACTGCCAATTTTGATGACAAAATCCATTTGCTCATATCTCTGCCCCTTTGACTCTATATTGGCATTCTTCTTGAGGTTGTAGGCTCCATTAAGTTTGAGCATGAAGATGTCCAATAGACTATCAGCAACCAGCACCAGACCAGACTCAAGGACAGCAAAGGTTGTCGCAGGGTGCTCAGTGTTGTGAACGAGAAAGACATTCTTTGTTGGAGCTGCAAAATGGAATTAAATAAGATATAGGCCTACATGTGCTCGGGGAGTATGTTGTTAGTACGAGCAGTGTTCCCCCTGCATTGACAGGAGCGAGGCGGCCTCGCTCATATTCTCAGCCGCCACACAGAAATTTGTCCAAAACACTGCCTCGCTGATGAAAATCAGTGTTCTTCCATCAATATACTACAGAATAGCTTAGAATGCACCAAATTGCACCATTTTTTCAAAAATATTCCGGGTTTTGGCCCCAGACCCCCCTAGCCGGGGTGCTTGCTTTGCTAGGAACTCGAAACGCGCAAACACACGAACATTTTTTTACCACCTCACAGTCACAGACCTTTTTGGCCCGGGGAAACACTGCCACTGGTTACGAGTATACAATTAATCTGTTTATTACTGACAAAACATTGCTTTTACAAACCATTTGGGCCGAGGCTTGACTGGTAAGTCTCGCAATCCACGCAAAATGTTCCCGTCTTTGTTGCTCCAAGTTGTTCGACTCGTTTTTGGAGAATCTCTACAGCTTGTTGACCATTCTTTCCTTCTGGTAAGGGCCACTGGTACACACTAAGGTTATGCATAGACAAAATAATCAGTATTACTATTATATAATATAAACAATTAATTCATGCAAATTTTACAAACAAAATCACCCGGCCCAAGGATAGAGAACATGGGTCCCAATAAAACCAATGTGCCTAAACCTAACCCGGCCTAACCCTAAGGCTAATTCTAACCCTAACCCTAATCCTAATCCTAACTCTAACCCTAACCATAACCCTAACCTATTATATTGATATAATATTATATTTATATTGATGTAAATGACATTGGTTTTATTGGGACCCATGACCATGTTCTCTATCCTTGAACCAATCACCCTCTGACAATAACCTCATAACCTCATAAGTGATAATCTTCAAAAGTCCTGGAGACTATAACGAAGATGGAGAGAGTGGATCAAGTCGGTAGATCCACACTGCGGATCGCAGCGGAAAAAGTTGTGAATTTGCTATTTACCAAGGATGAAGGCAGTGAATTCCAATACGGAATCACAGAGACAAAGAAGCTAAACTTA